TGAAGCCTACAGAGCATCAGATTTAGAGCCTCCGGTCAACCTCAGGGCGCACTCGACCAGAGGTATCGCATCTTCGACTGCTTTCCATAATGGTATGACAATGCAGGATATTTGCACTGCGGCTGCGTGGTCAACACCCTGCTCATTCATTCGCTTTTATCTACGTGATGTGACGGCTCGTTCCATGACACATTCTGTCCTTAGTGTTTACAGAATGAATATTGTTGTTTCATGGAACTCCGTTTTACTCACATCTGTCTGCATGCATTACAGTGTGAGATGTTATCAGTCACAAGTTGTATCTGTTATTTGGTTCTATTGTCACTAATCAGTTCATGACTATTGTTACCAATCAGTTCATTTGATTATAATCAGTTCACTTGTTATTATTAATCTGTTCATACTGTTCAGCCATGAATCAGTTGGTTCATGGCCCCCCTTTCTCAACATCTTTCCTCCCCGTTGAAGTTTCCGGGGCGTTCATGCATTCAGAACGCATAGTTACACAACATGCGTCTGTGCATGGCACACATAATTACGCAATGAGTAATTACGCACATGGGGAGCTGAGTGACAAGACGTTTTTTGGGCAAGCTTCTGCTTCATACGGTGTTCGAATGGACCCAGTGAGGCGAGGACCACATCTGCTTCGCCCTTAACCCACTAAGCGACAGCCTTAAAGGGCGAAGCCTATACGAAATAGAACGTTGGTTACGTACTGTAACCCCAGATTCTATGAATATAGGCGTAGCCCTTTAAGCGTCGGGCCTCACTGGCTCCTAAGTGGCTGAAGAAAAAGCTATTTGGGAGCCGATTACCCGCTCTTAACGTAATTTATACGGACCGGGTGGGGCCCACACAGCAGGTGGGCGTGGACTAAACTTTTCAGTGTGATGCTTCGCATGACGGGATAAAACCCATCAGCGACAGCTCTTAAAGGGCTACGCCTATACTCATAGAATCTGGGGTTACAGTACGTAACCAACATTTTGAGAACTTACCCATAATAAATGCTGCTTTTTCAATAACCCCTTATCAATCAACCTTTATTTATACAGGTAAATCCCATTGAGCCTCGAGGACTCATTTACAAGAGAGACCTGATTTCAACAAAGAAAGATGACAACAATGGACAACAGCAACAACAATAAACAGTTATAAAAACTCATACTACAGTTTTTTTTGTTTTTTTTTTAACAAATAGGATGGCTAAAAGGAAAAAGGTAACAAAACAAAAAACAGCTAGATTCCAAGACAAATGTATAAAACTAAAAACAGGAACATGTCTGCATTGGTCCCTGCCAGGAGTCCAACAGATTCTTAAAGCCACTTAGAGAGGTCAAAGGTCGAGAGCTTCAAATCTTTTTGTAAGATATTCCAGGAAACAGGAGTGGAGTAGGAGAAGGTCCTTTTGCCTAGTTCAGTCCTCACTGAGGGAACACTGCAGGTAATGATGTCCTGAGAGCGCACGCTGTAGCTGCACTCACACAGAGACATGTAGGAGGAGATGTATGAAGGCAGCAGACCAAGAAGTGATTTAAAGATGAAAATGTACCAGTGAGAGAGTCTGCATGAAGTTAATGATGTCCAGTTAACCAGTGAATACTGGGTGCAGTGGTGGGTACGATAATCACAGCCAGTTATGAATCTTAGTGCACCATGATAGACAGCATCCAACATCTGCAGGAAAGCTTATAAGAATGTAGACTGAATAAATTAATTATAAAATAATAATAAATAAATGACATGTTTGGATGTCATTTATTCATTTGGTCCTGAAGAAGGAGTTGGCAAATAAATCAGTTACTTAGACTACAAGCATGTCTTAAAGATATAAAAACCTGGATGACCCTGTATGCCTCTGAATACAGACAAGATAGAGGTTGTGGTTTTTGAACTTGAGTATCTTAGGAATAAACTTTGCAGTGGTTAGAGTTGTTACCCCACAGTAAAAAGGTCACAGGTTCAATTCCCAGCTTTTCTTTGTGAAGTTTACATATTTACCCTGTGGGTTTCCTCCCACAGACCAAAAACATGCATGTTAGGCTGATTGGTAACTCTAAATTGTCCCTAGGTGTGAGTGAGAGAGTGAATGGTTGTTTGTCTCTGTGTCCCTGTGATGGACTTGCGACCCATCCAGGGTGTACCCCGCCCCTCGCACAGTGATTGCTGGACATGGGCACCGGCGACCACCGTGACCCAAAATGGAACAAGCGGGTAATGAAAATGGCTGGATGGATGGTAATGCCAAACTGTCCCTAGATACTGTTAGATATTTATCTAGACCAGTCCTTCTCAAATAGTGGGGCGGGGGCAATGCCAGGGGGGCGCACATGACCCTAGAAATTATGCTTTTTTGCCGCAGGGAGTAGTTTTTTTTTTCACCATTCTCATTTTGTCGTGTGCATTCCTAATAATAAAGTTATGAACAAATATGGCCGCCTTGTGGTTTTGGAGTCATGCATGAGCCGTGTCTCTCCTCTGCTGCTGACACGATAAATAAACTCAGACCGTCACCTCCTCCATCCTCTGCTGCTGTTTTTATGTCCATGAGCTCTGGATGTCACTCACAGCGCACATGCAACAAAGAGTAAACTCAAAGCGAGAGCGACACCTGCCCCTCTTTCTTCTTTCATGTTGACATTTTTTTTTTGTTTTATCCATGAGTGTGCTCATTGATCCTGACTTCCTCATTTTGATTAAAAAAAAATCATTAACTTCGCACAGACTCTCTCACTGGTACATTTTCATCTTTAAATCACTTCCTGGTCTGCTGCCTTCATACATCTCCTACATGTCTCTGTGTGAGTGCAGCTACAGCGTGCGCTCTCAGGACATCATTACCTGCAGTGTTCCCTCAATGAGGACTGAACTAGACAAAAGGACCTTCTCCTCCTCCACTCCTGTTTCCTGGAATATCTTACAAAAAGATTTGAAGCTCTCGACCTTTGACCTCTCTAAGTGTCTTTAAGAATCTGTTGGACTCCTGGCAGGGACCAATGCAGACATGTTCCTGTTTTTAGTTTTATACATTTGTCTTGGAATCTAGCTGTTTTTTGTTTTGTTACCTTTTCCTTTTAGCCATCCTATTTGTTAAAAAAAAAAAAAACTGTAGTATGCTTTTTTTTACAACTGTTTATTGTTGTTGCTGTTGTCCATTGTTGTCATCTTTCTTTGTTGAAATCAGGTCTCTCTTGTAAATGAGTCCTCGAGGCTCAATGGGATTTACCTGTAGAAATAAAGGTTGATTGATGTCACTAAAGATGAATCTTCCGGTTCAACTACCGTAAGGAAACAGAAAATGAATCAACTTCCTGACTGTTTGGAGCTCGTTGTGAACCGGTGTTACACCATTTTCTGTGACCACCGTATATTGTGACCGTAGGGGGCAGTGTTGCATGCACTGTTGCAGGTCACAGAATATGGTGTAACACCGGGTCCAATGACCGAACCAGAACCAGCTTCCTCTGACCTTGTTTCACAAACTAAAAGCAAAAAATATTAATCTCTAAACCTATTAAAAAATCTATAAACATATTAATCTCTAAAACTAAACCTAATGCGCACCACAGCTGGTGGTGGTCGACCCCCCCACTGTTTTTAGTTTCGTTTTTGACGTGCCACACGTTTTTCACTTTTGCAGCTTAATAGTAATAACTAATAGTTTTGGTTTTCCTGTGACTTATTTGCAGTTTGATAAATGGTAGGAGCATAATATACTCTCCCAATGTTTTGTTGGTCTTTTTTTTGGTAAATAATAAATGACATTTTTTTGCATTTTTATTTTATTTATTTATTTTTTCATCTTGAGATCCTATGACGTCATCAACTATTCGAGTTCTACTTGAGTTTTATTGTGTTAATGTCGAGTTTTAAAATGATGTAGCCGTTCAACCCCTAGGCCCTCACACGTGACAGGTTGTGCTCCCCTTCTGCGAAGGAGGAGTCTAGACCCTTTAAATCTGTAATGCCTTGGGACATCTGCCCTTTCTGGTTCCTGAGCTCACATCGAACTGTAAATTTGACTTGAAAATTTACTTGAAATTGAATTGAATTACTTGAAAATTATTATGATTGAAATTATTGTTTGAAAAAAGGGGCAGATATAATAAGATTTTTTTCTTCTTTCTGCTGCCTTTCATTTTAAATCTCTTGCATCTTTTTTTATATTGTTATGGAATTGTTTTGTACTTTTTTAAAATGAATAAACTTTATATCATACCGTACCATAACTGTACCGGAGAGACCAGTGCTATACACTGTAACCTTTTCCTGCCTTGATTTTAATACAATTGGTAAAACTGAATTCACGTTTCCTTGATTTATTGATAGTGTGAGTTGCTGCTTCTGAGGGAGATCCGAGCCGGGGAGCAGTGTGACCTGGAGGTGGCTCTGGGGTCGGAGAGGAGGCCTGAGGCCCGGCTAGCAAACGGTTAACTGCAGTGACCCGGGACCCGCATCCAGCTACTGTTGTAACAATACTGTATGCGTGAGACGGTGAATGGTTGTTTGTCGCTAGGTGTCCCTGTGACAGACTGGAGACCTTTGGAGACAGTCACCAACTCTCCAGGAAAAGCAAGCAGAGAAAATAAATGGTTCTTTTCCTAATCTAGATGTACATATTCATGAAAGAAGGGTGAGAGACCAGCAGTGTGTTCTGCTCACTGCCTGCCACCATGAAAAGCAGGCAGGAACTTATTAGCATCATTTATTCCTCTGATACACATGCTAACAATTGTAGCTTGTTGTAATAGTTTGTTTGTGAAAAGCAATAGCTTCAAAACAGGGTGGCTGTTGCTGCAGAAAAATCAGTTCTTCACTACTGAAAAACCAACAAAAAGCCTAGTTGTCACGGGGAATTTCAATCTGGGTTTTGGTACAGAGCTGAGTCACGGTTTGCAGCAGAAAGTGGTGGGAGCAAGGCTAGTCACGATCCATTTGACCTGAGGAAAGGACCTACTTCCAGTTAATAAGAGACTTACTTGATTGCAGTGCACTGTGAAATGTCTCGCAGCGTTGGAATCGGTGACATTACCATCCTGAGAACAAAACAGATCAAAATTGAGCTTGTGATGAAACCAAAAATCATGTACTGGTTTTCTAGTTAGAGCCTGAAAAACTCATGACAAAACACAGGGAAAGTCAGAAGTTTCGTACTTATCTGGTAGAACAGGGTTGTCATCAAGATTTAATGTACCTTGGAGTCCATGGCACAGTTCTGCAGGGATCATAGAGACCTGAAAGAGACCAAGCTTCAGTTTTTATCTGAGAACATGTAATGAGCCTCTGAGCTGCAGGCCAAACAGCAAGATTTGAGACACTATTCTGGTTTTTGATGCTGAAACTGAAGCGCTGGTATTCAAACTTTTGTTACCTCAGGAGTTTCTGAACGGTAGAGCTCATGGATAAAGTCGAACAGTGGGTGTAACTTTCCCAAAAACAACACGTCACTTCCCAGGCTGTTTCTTCTGACTGCAACAGAAAAACAAAACTGTAGTCAAAAAAGGCTAATAATAATCAATAAAAATCAATAAATGAAATATTACTGATCATCAGAGTCTCAATAACATCCACACATCACTTCAAGGAACAATACTTGGTGAAATACTAAAGAACAAATGAAACAAACTGTAATGGAGGTCCCACGTCCAACTGGATCTGATGTGGTGTTGGTTTTAGACTCAGATTCACATTGACCCGCTGAAAACTAGTCAGTAAGCTCATCTTCATCATGAAACCTAGAGTCACTGAGCTCATCTTCATCATGAAACCTAGAGTCA